CACACAAAAAACCAAATGTTAGTAATTCCCAGTGTCATCTCTTGTCAAGGCCTGCCTCTTTTCAGTAACAACTCCCCAACATGCCTAGAATAGCCAAGTGGCCCTTACGGTAAATCCGATGCCCACAGTAGCAGAAAAAGAGCCTGGAATGAACTTGCCCTGGTCAAACTGAACCAGCAGCGATGTCTTCCCCACACCACTGTCTCCAACCAGGATAGTCTGCAGAAATCAAACAGAAAAGCAGGTTAGATTCTCTTGATGAATATTCAGCCAAAATGTGGCTAAAGAGATGCGGCTTTGAAGGGCTAGTTTGAGGGGGCTGGGTGGAGAGTGACCGGGAGCCCCCTCACTTCCTCTGCCCCTCTCCTGCCCCCCTTCCCACCCACCCATGCACCCCTACCTGGGCAGCCTTCTGTTCCAATTGCAAGCCTTCTCATTGCATGTCCTTTCTCCAGCTGTGCTGGGCAGTCTGTGTGGCTAGGAGTGCCACAATAGCCAATGTGGGGCAGCATGTGCAGCCAGGAATGTTGGTGAAAAAGCACTCATATCATAAGTGAGCAAGACCAGTGGTGGGGTCAGTGGCAGTAGGCCCTACCTGGGCCCTGGCAGCTGCCCCACCTCAAGGAATGCTGATGGCCACCCTGCTAGGATAGAGATCCCCTTCGATCTATGGCTCTCCTTTGTAGGATATGGCAGTACACTGGCATTGAAGGTAGGGTTGCCAGCCTCCACATGGCACAAACGACAATAAACTGTGTATTGAAAATAACCACGCAACCAATAAACAAATATATAGCATCTATTAAGATACAATTATTATAAATAACATTGAAAATACTTCCCAATACATAAACAAAGGAAACCACTCTTCATACGCAATAGTAAACCATGCTGTAAATCCTCAATGACGTTCAAGCATAGATACATCCAAAAGTCAATGCTAATTACCACAGGATTCTTCCTCAAACCGAAGGTGTCTCTGTTGGAAATGTATGTGTTTGCAAGGTCTCACAATCCAGTCATTACAGGGTTAACTTGTTTGCTTTGTATGCTGTTGTTTAGACTGACCTGGAAGGGAAACCTGGCTCAGAGCCAATGGAGAAATAGCCCGGGAAAAGTGACTTGTATTGTAATACAGATTGGTTACTGGTTTCAGGTGACTTCCTTTCTAGGGGTCAAGAAGAAGCTGATACTCCATTGTTTAGGAGTTCTGTTCTAGCCATGCTTGTATAGAAGTAAGATGTAAGAATATAGCTCTAAGATGTTTGTTATTTTCATAGGTCTCCTGTATACCCTTTACCCTTAGAAATAACGTTTTTTAAAACACAAAGAAATCTCTCCTCTCCAATGAAACAAGATCCATCTATACTCTAATTTAAGTATTTTGACTATTTTTCCAACAGTCTCAAGGTTAAGTAGATTCATTAGCAGCATGGAGATTCATGCCGTATAAATTTGCCAAACCAAAAGAAAACCCTGGTTTGATTACAACTGAAGATGATTTGCAACTTGAAATTTCGACTTCACACGTTCGCCAGCTTCCAAGTTGCCGTGTTTCATAAATGCTTTATCAAAAGTCAATATTCTCTCCTATAATAATAAATTCAGAAAGAATCCACAACAATACAGCTCATAAAATTGTGTGCAACATACTTTCAGAAACTTAACAAAAATTACAACTTACTTGCTCAAAATCTTTGGAGTCTCTAAACAATGCTGCTTCTTCCGTTCCAATAAAGTAAAATGCTTACCACATCTCTCAAACAATTTCCTCTTAAAGGAAAAACCTCTTCAGACTTAAAGGGACCTAAATTGCTCATAAATGTAGTATGTTGCAACCGTTACAAGAAATGTTACAAAATCATAAGAAACAGCTATAATCCAACTGTTGATTCAAACCATAGGGGGACATGGTGTTAAATCTGTAAATCAGTCTAGCTTCCTGTTGAAGCAACACTCTACTTACATCACATCTCTCCTCTCTCCTTATATATAATTGAGTAGTGGGTGCCAAAGTTCTAAAATGCACTCCTTTAGTGTATGGACGCTTGAACTGTCAGTCAGAAGACGCTGGCTGGGTTGACTGGCTGCTTTGTGCAGTCCCACCCAGTGTTTCAAGGTCTTTTGCATATGGAAGCTGATTGGACTTCACTGCATTCCACACCTCAAACTCACCCCCCTCCCCGCAAGGCAGTTGGAATGTCAGTTGCATATGGAACCTTCAAGGTCTTTTGCATATGGAAGCTGATTGGACTTCACTCCATTCCACACCTCATACTCCCCCCCCCCAAGGCAGTTGGAATGTCTGGTGGTGTGTAGGTCCCAGGATCATGTTTTAAAAGCTGCCTGGGGGATTATGGACCATTCACACACTTTCAACCTTAACATACCTCATAGGGGGAGAGGAGAATGATGACAGCTGCTTTCCCTAGGCAGAGGCGGGGGGGGGG